TTCAACAGGGCTTGTGCTTCGCTAAGGTCTTCAAAGATGAGGGCGATGTCATCTGCGTACTCCAGATCGACAAGGCTCTCGCCAGCAACAATTTGAACACCGGGGTTTTGAAAACCGTCCAGTGTTCGCCTCATTACTTCATCGATGACGAAGTTGAACGAGAATGGGGAGAATGGATTTACCACCTTACACATAAGGTAAGCAAAAAATTCAACGTGAGATTTATAATGCCTAACACGCCTTGATTTAGCCACACAACACACTGTAGAAAAGAACAGAGATTAGCATACGCACAAGTTGTTCAACGCCACAATCCGCTTAGCCCCAGTTTGGTACTGCTAACAGCAGTCTGCAAGGGCAGATAATATTCGGAAGCTGGAGGGTTTCCGATCACCGATTTCTATGAGGAGTAATAAAGTTCGGTGCTTGAAGAAGTGCTCGGCGAGGAGTTTCGGGGGCGGAATATAGCTCTGTGAATAGAAATTCTGAAGTGGTTTGGGCACCTATTATGCGCAAACGACGCGAGAACCGTTGTCTCAACGCCAAGGCCTCATCAAAGGCAGAGTTGTGGTCTCGAAACACAGTTTACACGGTCCGGCGGCAGCTTGATCTCCACAAGAAGCAGTCATCTGCGCGGATCTGGAAGCCGCTAGTCGCCTGCAATCAGTTACTATTCAAGACCATTCTGAAGAGGCCTCTTCCAGATTCAGGAAATAGACAGTGAAGTAATGATAAGGCATGCCAGGCCATGTGAGTGTGGTCTGGGGAGCTTCGCATACATATAGTAAAGATTATTGGACCAATGGAGACGGAAAATATTGAGCAAAGCCGCTTAGTTGTTTTCATGTAGAAAAAAATCATCCAGCTGTAGCACCCTTCCGGTGCCTAGCTACCATGCCACCAGAAAGAAGCACGAGGGCTGGGCTACTGCTAGGTTATCCAAGCCTAGACAGGCGAAGTCGAGTGGCGGAGGTCGGATTCGAACCACGGACTTTCCGATCAGTAGATTCGCACTCTAACCACTTGGTCCATCTCATGTAGACCTGTGAACGGTATGCCCGAACATGGTTCGGGCGTTCCGTAATGATGCTAGAAGTGACTTTCTGTGAACATCGTTGTGCAGATCATATTGTTTGCCTGGGAGCTACATATACCAAACCGGGTCAGATCGTACGGCCGTGACATTGCAAAGGTAGACGGCTTCACAGTTCATCTTTGCTACACTTGTAACATCCACGTTGGAGAATGTGGTGGTAGGATAAATCCGACATCAAAGCAAACCATTCCTTCAGTCCATTACTTGAAATCTCATCAGCCAGAAGGAGAGATGCCGTAGCATGACGTGGGCGAAGAAGAAACCGGACTATCAACTTGAGGTTCAGAAAATATCCCCTTCAGTCCATTACTTGAAGTCTCATCAGCCAAAAGGAGAGATGACATAGCATGACGTGGGCGAAGAAGCTGGACTATCAACTTGAGGTTCAGAAAATATCGACCGAACAGTTCGTTTAAGGTGAGATTTTTTTAAAAAAAATATGGTGCACAAAGGCCACCTCGTGTTTCGGTTGGAGGTACCGAAGAATTGTCCTCGATACAATACTACTTATAGGGTCGATGAAAACACAAGAGCCTGCAGGTACTAAAAGGCCAAGATGTGGAAAAAACGATGGAGTGCGGTATGACAAGGGAGTATTGCACTATCGAATGACTCAGACAATAATTAAGTAATGTGAGGGGTTAACTTATTCTGCGAACATCCCAAACTCAGCTCAAATGGATCTCTGTGCAACGGACAAAATTATGCACACAAAATAATTTTTCGATTTAGCGAATTTCGGTACTTGAGAGAGAAAGAGCATCGCAACACATACCTGATGGTGTGGCGAAAACCGCCACGGAATTTGGGGAAGGGAACGAGTAAAATGACCTGTAAAGTAAGATAAAATACAGTTCGTTCATATTTTGTGCGTGAGATGGAAGTAAAAATGCAGTGAAGTGCGATCAGATTGAAAACTAAAGGATCATATCCGCGTGGAGCTCTGAAGTTTATGGACATGTCCAGCCATACACTGGCAAACCGAGAGATAAGCATACGGACAGACAGACAGACAGGCAGACAGACAGACACAGATGCAGCGACGAAACTCAACATGCCAAACTGAGCAGCGACGGACTGGACATGCAAAACTACAGGTCCGCGAATCGTGCGCAGATTATCATCATTAGTTTTGGGGTAGTTCGTCGAAAAAGCGTTGAACTTACTTAGGTGGTAATCTGAAAGAAGATTGTGTAAAATGTTTGGTCGGTGGTGAGCAATAAGAGCAGTCGGTATGGCAAAAATTCGGTTGCGATCCTATTACCACTAAAGCAGCAGATAACAGCGAGTTCGTTGTTTCATCTACAAGAAGAGTGCCACTAAAGTGATTCAAGCGGTGGTGAGGAATATGATCAGCCTCATATTCAAAAGGTAATTGCTATCGTTGAAGAGTTTTATGCTCTATTTAGCAAAGCCGTAGTTCCACCACACGACCGTAACTAGTCTGATCGCAATTAAGTCAGTTGACGGGGACACAATCATCTCCGTGCCGCGAAGTTCCAGCATCCAAACGGTGTTAACAAGCCGTATTCTGGGTAGGTGCTAGACGCTATAGACTAGGCGTTATGCTGCCACTGTGAGAAGAATCATCAACTACTGCATGTATCGGAAACCGACCGACCGGAACAGGAACAAGAAGTATTCAGAGAGAAGCTGCTCAACACGCCAATCAAATTCAAAGAATACAGACCACAACGCGGCATGATTCGGGCACCAATGGATGGTATCAGCAAATTTATAGCAAAAACGAATGGTTGCTTAACAGATTCTTCAGTCGTGGAAGACATCCGGTAGGATAGACGGTGGGGGAATGGCCGTGGTCTGTATGGCGAGTCCTAATCTTTCAAGGCATACGCAGTTTTCCACGACACGTTTATAAGAGCGCGAACCGCGAGGCAGGCGACGCTCCATTCAATAGGAATCTATGGAACAGATTGTGGAAATTCCGATGTGGTTCATCCTCCAGGATAGATTTCTTGAGACATTCCCTACGCTCGGATGGCGACACTGCAGGATATCTCGGTGAACCGAAATCACTAGTGTTCGTGTTGTCAGTTGGTGATCGTTCAAAGCCGTCAGAACTCCGAACAATAAGGATGAACTGCGACCTCCTCTGGTGAGTATTTTCTTCCCACCTAGAGGCATCTGAAATAAGCCTTTTGCAGTTGCACGACAGCATCGACACTAGTGTTGCTTTCTAGAGTGACCGGTACGAGTGGGCGGAATGGGCCTTCCCGACAGCCGATATATATGGCACGTGTATCGTCATTTTTTCTGCCATGAGCAGGGTTTACACGACAGCGGTGACTAATGGATCAGAGATGTGAAGCCCCCATTCAGAATATACCTCCAATGATTAAGAAATTGTCCGTGTTTGATGGGAAAAACAGATTGGCATTGCTAATGTGTGCATGAGAGTTTTTACACCGGAAAAAATTCGCGCACAGGAGTCAAATTGGTGGCAACCTGAAAGGAAGAGTGGTTGGGTCAAAGATGGCCGTCAGACTTTCGCCTCAAATGCGCACAAAGCAAATGGTCTAAAGGCAATGGAGTCTAGTACATGACAGCCAGCGTCTGCCTACATAAGAACCCCAAGACAGAATACACCAACGACAAGTCATACTGACAAAGCCAATGACACTATTGTGCCATTAGAGCATAGCACCACAAAGTTCTAGCCCATCAAAAGTTGACAAAACAAACGCCAAAAACGTGTTCAGTTATCGCTTTTAACTATTAAACCACGCTCCAGATATCCCCACGGTTACTGATTGGTGAAATGTAACAGCTAAAAGCAAGCAAACATTATACATGGCTTGCAGATAGGACCTCCCAAAGCATAAAAAAACTCAACCGAGAACAAGGAGACGCCACAGGCACCTACCTGGTAATGCATTCTGAGGTGAAGGGGAGCTGAAATTGAAAGACAGGGATAATAGTGATACACACGGCATTCAAAAAGTGGGGTATTCCGTTAGATATGCATCTCAGATTGAAAACTATACGGGTCATTTTCGCGTGACGGACACCATGCAGGTGTTCATGTATGACGCATCAGCAGACACACACACACAAGCAGACATTCAGGCAATCAGGAAAACACCGTCCCCGATCAGCATACAGCGATTACATGAACAGATGCAGTTCGCTCGCGAATCTTGCGCAGATTTTCATCTTATGAGGGGAAAAATGGGGTTGAGAGATATGTAAGCAAACGTACTTACGTGAATAAAGATCTGATATGAGGGAGAGAGAGAGAAAGCGACTCGCGGTGTAAGCAATATGAAACAGAAGTAAGCCTTGAAGTATATTATGCGTCAAAGTACTAGAAGATTCAGATCAACTGATTTGGAACAGTAAAAACAACGGTGGGAGGTTTATCGGCGCCCGAAACAAGCGAATCCACATACCAGTACATGAAAGAACACGCTCTGGCAAAATTCTGCTAACTGCTGCTAGTAATAACACGGACGCGTTTGACTGAGTCAGCAGATCATTTCACTAGGCTCGTAAAACAACACAGACAGGAATGCAGTGTACTGACAGAACATATGCTCTTGCACGTGTGTTGTTCTACTAAGGAAGGAGGCCTCTCCCATGGTCAGGAATATTGATTACTTGACGTAGTTCAGGTAGAACGGTGAATGGAGAGCGTCTCTGCGCAACTGGGGTCGACAGTGGTCTAGTAAACGCGATAACCGCATAAACGAGTGAGAAGGGTGCTTCAAAACGGCCGTGGTTTTCCTGGACCTACACTTTACAGGATGATGAACTCATCGATACAATTTTAGGACATGTGCTCCGGTCAAAACCAGCAAAAAACACCGGGTGTGCCCTAAAAAAATAGAGCCAATCGTTCTGAGATATACATGGAGAGCAACACTCGAGATGGCTCAAGTGGTGAGAGCGCGAATTAACTGGCCAGAGGGTCCATGGTTTGAACCCGACCTCTGCTTCTCGACTTCCCCTGTCTCGGCTTGGGCAACTTGGCAGTATCCCAGCCCTCGTGCTTCCTTCGGGTAGCATGGCAAGCACAAATGGCAGGGCGACCACGGTACGTAAAAGTCACTGAGGTCGAAACAATCAGGACAAATATAATAACAAGTTTCTGACAGCTTTAGTAAAATCCCACAGTTGTCATGAGTACGGTTCGACCACATTTGGCATTTTCATGGAAGATTCTCGTGGCTAACGAAATTCATCGTAAGGTGTATCGTGAAAGAGAGACTGAACGTTCATCCGATGATCCATGCTGGCTTGATAGAACCCCAACAGTACTGATAACGGCGACGGCTGAATCCATCGTTCGCTCCAAACACTCGACGAAAGAATCAGTTTGCACGGCCGCGTGACTATGACCAGCTGACCAATAGGGGGACTTAGAGAACTCACCAGCGAGTCTACATGAGTGACGCAATGGTTATACTCACTGGTCATTGATTCAGTTATAATGTGTAGATTATGGGGCGACCCCATGGCAGTGGGAAGTGAAGGAACGCAGCTGCTTGGTCTGTTTACCATGCACATCAACTACACATGGGTCGGGAGTGCGTGGCTCAAAAACAACTGTACGTGGACTGTTCCAGAATAACCGTATCAAGTTCGACGACTACCGACAAATGATCAGAACTGACAAGCTGCAAAACACTTACACTTATCATTCTGCAGAATTCTAGAGAGAACCAGAAAAATTTGTTCACACGAGATAACTAAACTAGTTGAACAGACAGATTAAAATACAGCCATCGGCTCATAAGAAAAGTGGTAATAATAGTCCAGCTGTAACACCCTTCGGTACGTTCCCAGATTAAATAAATAGTCTTCAGCCGTAGCATCCTTTCGGCGCCTACCCGAAGGAAGCACGAGGACTGAGATACTGCCAGGTTGACCAAGCCTAGAAAAGAATCAGTCTAAGTGCAGAGGTCGGGTCCGAACAGTGAATCTTTCAATCAGTAAGTTGGCTCTTTAATCACTTAGCAATCTCGAGCTCAGGGGAGATTTAAACTTCCACCTGCAACGGTTTGTTGACCTAAGAAGTAAACAAAAGATCACACAACGTTCCTGAGTCCCATCAGTTGCCCGCGTACCATTGTTTTGACCATTCCAAACGCACGACCGCCTGTGTCCACCCGTCACTCAATCTATTTTCCGTTCAATATCAACAAAACGTTAACAAGTACATAACGGTGTCTTTGACATGAGCCGATCTACTAGCTCCATTTGGGCCTTCATGATATTAAGACTACGGGAAAATGATAATGTTTCGATGGAGATTCCATCCTGAAGGTGAGGTCAGTCACAAAGTCATGAATTGCTATGAAGCTGTCCCATTCTTATGGTGAGCACCTATGTGGGGACTCGGAGCCGTGACAGTCCCGTTAGTAGATTATTCAGTTGATAAGCAATTTCAGTTCCAGACGCAAACGGTCAACATACCGTTCAATACTCACCTGATTCGGTCCCGACGTGTCGCAGCGTCCAATAGTTCCGGGTAAGGAAATATTACGTCAAAATTTTGAAATATTAAAACTGCATACAAAGGAAAACGCTAATATCAGTATGTGAGGTGATTGGCTGAGCGGAGGGGGTGACAAACGCCCCTGAATGCTGTGAAGAATTAGAACGAATGTGCTAAAATCGAGTTGAAATGCAAATGGCAGTCAGGTTCAATCAGTAAAACTCCTATATGAAAGACGGAAACGTCAAACAAGACCTGCAAAACCAAAATTGAACAAGGACAGGGCAAAATACGCAAAATCTGAATGTAAAGACAGATCTGAGTAGAGTAATGTTGAAGGTGTGCAGAGACTGATGTCTGTGTGGGAATGCATTTGGGTGACAGTACACCCAAACAAGGCAGCGATAACTGTCAGAACTGATCGGTGAAACTAAAACCGCTCAGATGACTGCAAAGACTCTGTCGGCTTCCATGAAAACTGAAGTGCTCGAAATAAGGTCCGTCGAGAATTTGAGACGAGGATGGCATGGTCACCTGATCTGGAGGTGTTAAAGCTACCGACTCGTTTTGGAACTCTTCTGGGATGTACTTGGTGTCCAGCTCATCGGTCACGTCCGGTTTCCATGGCGGAATGACATCTCTGAAAAACAAAACATAATCGACTGTAAGTCAGACATCGATAGAATACAGGATATGGTATCCCACAAAACCCAGAAACTGCAACAAAAACGTTGCCCAGTGGATTTCAAGCATGTGTCGCGCTATCTGACTAGGAAGTTCTGACTGGCGAGTCAATCGATCGTCACAACCAGGACAGCTACTGGGTCGTCGTCCGACGAATTGGACACACCAAGCACATCGCTCAAGCGTGAACGCATTCGCCTGTTCGGAGGTTGAAATTCAGATGCGTCCAACGTGCGTTGGTGGAGTAGTGGTTACACGCTCGCCCCGCATGTCAGATGTCCGGGGTTCAAACCCCGGCACCGCCATTGGATATGCACTGCTGATGGGCTCTAATAAGAACGAAACTCGAGTCCAGTGTTTCCCTTTGGTGTGGACTCACCGGAACAGGAGGAAGGCCGCTCAAACGATAGTGGTGTGACTATGAATTACTATGCAAATGAGTATAGGGTCGAAGCTTGTTCACACGATGCAATCAACATGCTCTTAGTTAGTTGTTAGTTAGTAGAATGTGCTCGAATCTGCGAATCTGATGGAAACAGTGAGGTCCTCAGGTAGTCCAATTCGCCCGATCATGTACAGAGTTTGCAACCTAGAAGCGAACAAGCAGAGCCATAATCTCAGTATTGCCAATAGTGAGGAATAGGATGTCACCAGGAGACAAGTCAATCGTCAGAGTTACTGACATATACAACCGAAGCGTGCGACTAGGTGCACTGAAACACTCTAGTTGTTGAAGTTATCGAACGCCTACCATTCGTCAGCAAGTTAATGCCCGTAACAACCACCACTACGATAAAATTTCAGCATGAGTAATCATCACCAATGTGCATCTATTCTATTCATAGTCAAACCACTCTCGTTTGAACGGCCGTCCTCCTGTTCTGAGGTAATTAGTCCGGTGAGTCCACACCAAAGTGAAGCACTGGACTCGAGTTTCGCTCTTATTAGAGCTCATCAGCAGTGCATATCCAATGGCGGTGCCGGGGTTTGAACCCCGGACATCTGACATGCGGGGCGAGCGTGTAACCACTACTCCACCAACGCACGTTGGACGCATCTGAATTTCAACCTCCGAACAGGCGAATGTGTTCACGCTTGAGCGATGTGCTTGGTGTGTCCAATTCGTCGGACGACGACCCAGTGATTGACCCGCCAGTCGGGACTTCCTAGTCAGGTAGCGTGACACTCGCTTGAAACTGAGCAACTTCTTGGTTGCAGTTTCTGGGGTCTTGCGGGATAGGTATTTTTGTTCAGTCACACCACTCTCGTTTGAACGATCGTCTTCCTGTTCTGGCGTAATTACTCTAGTTCATCTTCTACATTCATTACCATGTAGCTGAAAAATTCGCCCAATTCACAAACACCGGATAAAAGGAGCAGGGGACTTTCACATTCATGTTAGATTGAAATGAACCGAATTTAAAAATAAGCAAATCTAAGTGTTCTGGCGTAATTACTCTAGTTCATCTTCTACATTCATTACCATGTAGCTGAAAAATTCGCCCAATTCACAAACACCGGATAAAAGGAGCAGGGGACTTTCACATTCATGTTAGATTGAAATGAACCGAATTTAAAAATAAGCAAATCTAAGGAGCGAAATCAAAATGATATTGCATACCGAATGAGCACAACAAACCCAGCAGTTTTGGTTAGCTTGTTCCCACAGGTTTGTTTAGATCACCTAACACAAACTAAATAAAAGCCACACCAACAGAGACACCGATCACAAAATCTGTGGTTCGATTTAACCCCTAGCTTGGGCAAACTTTCAGTAACTCAGGCCTTCTGCGTCCTGTGGATCGCATGGCAGTTACGCACCGAAACAGTATCCACACGGCTAAACGATGTTGTCATGGACTCTAATGCAATAATTAAGTAAACACAGGTTCTACATGAGAGGAATGAACGATCAAGTGCGTCTGGCTCTATTCGGAGTCATATTCTGTTGCTCATTTGTATCTACAGAAAACTGAGTGGTCCGTTTTATGCCATAAAATAACAGTGTTTAGTCCAGCCGCAATGCTGTGTATAAGTTTGGTAACAGTAGTCAGTATATAGATGGCCGGTGACTGCCCAATGCTCTGAATTGGGCTGTAATTCGTCAGCTGAAAAGAGTGCCGAAGTTGATCACCCAAAGTTGACAAATGCAGCTCGTACGTGATTGGTCAAATGAATCACACGGCGAAATCGTTCGGCTGTAGCAACCTTTCGGTGCTTAACCCTAGAAAGAAGCATGAGGGCCGGGATACCGTCATGTTGCCCAAGCATAGACGAGGGAAGTCGAGAGGCAGAGGTCGGGTTCGAACCACAAACTTTTCGGTCAGTAAATTCGCGCTCTAACCACTGAGCCATCTCGTTTGCATTGACATTGGCTGGTGTCAACCAACCAAAGTGCCAGGTAGACATCGGTTGACGATGCATCATGCAGAATTCGTTTGAGTTTGCCTAGGATATTGACGGTGTACAATTTATTTACTACTAGCAGCACTAGTTTTGTGAAGGTGCACCGACTACTGAATTAATTATGACCGTCACTTCAGACGATTTGATTTATTGGTTCTTGTACTGTTTCTAACTGTAAGATCATTGCATAAAAGAATGGGAATAGAAGTTGGTGAAAAAAAAATGGAGAAGCTTACTTTCGAATCAACTTATCCCAGTCCACGGAAAGAAAGAACGGATGGGCCATAACATCGAGTACATCACGTGGTCCACCGCCAAGACGAGAAGACGGGTCTTTGATCAAAAGCTTTGCAAGAATATCTTGTGCAATCAGAGATAAATGAGAAGGGAATACGACCTTTTCCTGGAGACCAGACAAGAAAGGAAAAAAAACGGGGGGGGGGGGGGAAAAAACAGTTCAGTAATGGAACGAGTCTGGGACTGATCTCAGACGACGGAATACGCTACTCAGTAGGTTGCTCATAACCCAAACCAATGGATCTCGAACTGAAAAAAATTTACCCTTCAGAGTTTCGAAAAAAAATATTGCCCAGTTTAGTATACTGCTAGTGCGGTCAAGTCTGAAAAGATTTCACTTCTCTCATATTCAGAAAGATACCGGATTTAGGTACTTGATACACATACGATGTAGAGTATTTACACACTAAAACATTAGAAGTGAATCAAAGATCTGAACCCGCACGATTTGGACACTACGAAACGTGTCCTCCTTTGACTGGAATCCCTTAGTTGCAGGCAGCAGACCCCATTGAACCGGTCACTGGGAGAGCGGTGTCGGTAGCTTGTAATGAAATATTAAGCCATGCCAAATCACGTCGAATGATACTACTGCCACGACAGTCACAACTCTCAACCGTTTTTAGTACTTGTGATCGGAAAACACTCTTCATGCATTGTTTAATCGAATCGCTTCCAATTCAAAGTTTACACTTCCGTCAATCCCGGTCGTACTCAAATCCGGACTACGAGTAGGCTAATACAATCCTTTGATGAAACGAACCAATAATCATGTTATAATGATGTAGACTAATTTGAGAAGAATGAGGAAATACTTGAGTACGGCGATTTCAGATGCAAGTGGAAATGTTTTAGAGATTCATTTCTGATGATTGGTTCCACCTGCCACCGCAATGATCATTGATAAACACCAATATGTATGTCAACCTATTCGTACACCTGTATCGTGATGGATCGTTTTTAAATACCTAACCTAACAGACCAGTCATAAATCACTTCGTTTTACTTGCGGTAGGATTTGAAATTAGGCTGTTGCTGAGCTTCCAACTAATATGAACTGAAAGAGATCAGCCCGACCCTCATGCTCCTAACGGGCGAGATGGGCCAAGTGGTTAGAGCGAGAATTTGCTGACCGGACGGTCCGTGTTTCGAACCCGACCTCTACGTCTCGACTTCCCCTGTCTAGGCTTGGGTAGCCTAGCAGTATTCCAGCCCTCGTGCTTCCTTCTGGTGGCATGGCAGCTAAGCACCGAAAGGGTGCTACAGCTGAACGTCTTTTTTATGTTCCTAACGGTGATAAAGCTTTAGAAGATAACGGTCGCTTGGGGAGAACAATGAGTTTCGAACTGGAACGGAAACCCCCTCCACGAGAACCCAAATTCAAGGGGCCCCACTTTCGGTAATGTTCCGTCTTCGGGGGATTACTGCATAAACAGCTTAATAAGGGATCAGAAAAAACGAAGATTTCCCTAAATGAAGAATGTCTCCAGTCCATGAGGTTTTTACATGTCAGAATTAATAGTAATCGGTTTATTTATCCTGAGTCAACTAACTACGAATGAGCAGAGATAGACAAATAGAGACGTTTGCCTCTTAAATGTCCATCATCTGCGTTATATTCAGGTTATGTCCAATGACAGACCCACGTAAATCAGCGTATTCTCATCACCATCACGTTTTGGAGGCGCCCTTCCCAGAATCTGCCTATCCTTTAACACAATGTTCGTACACAGTCTCGTTCAAAGAATACATTGATTCTATCCACATTTGCTGTAACCAACTGCTCTCCCCACTCCAGTGCCTTAGTATCGGAAGGAGACACCAACAAGGAACGCAACAACTTTATTGCGGAACAAGCAAGTGCAAAAGCTACAAGGTGCCTCGCGGTATTTGAAGCGCACTTTCGACCATGATTGAGGCTGTCCGATCGGTGCTGGGTTAACACCCACTATCCCCTGAACACTCATCACCGTCAGTCTTGGATGAATCGATTGACTGGAAGCTGGATTTTCTGGCCTGGATGCTTCACAGCTTCCCTACTGCGATCCTGATGTGGTTTGACTACATCAGTATGTTTCGGGCATTCTGGGATTATTTTTAGGAATCTGACCCTCTTGACAACATTGTAAAGGTCACTGGTTGAAAGATCCAACGTAACCAACGAGAATCCGAAATAAAAATAAGACTAGCAAATCGTTCAGCTGTAACCCCCCTTCGGTGGGTGGCTGCCATACCACCCGAAGGTTGCACGAGGCCTGGGATACTGCCAGGTTCCCCAAACCTAGACATGGGAAGTCGAGATGCAGAGGTAACGGTGATAAAGCTTTAGAAGATAACGGTCGCTTGGGGAGAACAATGAGTTTCGAACTGGAACGGAAACCCCCTCCACGAGAAACCAAATTCAAGGGGCACCACTTTCGGTAATGTTCCGTCTTCGGGGGATTACTGCATAAACAGCTTAATAAGGGATCAGAAAAAACGAAGATTTCCCTAAATGAAGAATGTCTCCAGTCCATGAGGTTTTTACATGTCAGAATTAATAGTAATCGGTTTATTTATCCTGAGTCAACTAACTACGAATGAGCAGAGATAGACAAATAGAGACGTTTGCCTCTTAAATGTCCATCATCTGCGTTATATTCAGGTTATGTCCAATGACAGACCCACGTAAATCAGCGTATTCTCATCACCATCACGTTTTGGAGGCGCCCTTCCCAGAATCTGCCTATCCTTTAACACAATGTTCGTACACAGTCTCGTTCAAAGAATACATTGATTCTATCCACATTTGCTGTAACCAACTGCTCTCCCCACTCCAGTGCCTTAGTATCGGAAGGAGACACCAACAAGGAACGCAACAACTTTATTGCGGAACAAGCAAGTGCAAAAGCTACAAGGTGCCTCGCGGTATTTGAAGCGCACTTTCGACCATGATTGAGGCTGTCCGATCGGTGCTGGGTTAACACCCACTATCCCCTGAACACTCATCACCGTCAGTCTTGGATGAATCGATTGACTGGAAGCTGGATTTTCTGGCCTGGATGCTTCACAGCTTCCCTACTGCGATCCTGATGTGGTTTGACTACATCAGTATGTTTCGGGCATTCTGGGATTATTTTTAGGAATCTGACCCTCTTGACAACATTGTAAAGGTCACTGGTTGAAAGATCCAACGTAACCAACGAGAATCCGAAATAAAAATAAGACTAGCGAATCGTTCAGCTGTAACACCCCTTCGGTGGGTGGCTGCCATACCACCCGAAGGTTGCACGAGGCCTGGGATACTGCCAGGTTCCCCAAACCTAGACATGGGAAGTCGAGATGCAGAGGTCGGGTTCGAACCACGGACCTTCTGGCCAGTAAATTCGCGCTCTAACCACTTGAGCCATCTTTCCACTAACGTAATATATCGGTGAACACATACGAGCTGAGAGCAGAAGTTCTGACAGGATATGAACTGTACCAACTACTCAGTGATGACTCTGAATCGAATGGTGCCTTCACTCTCTGACTTCTGAAGAAGCACACCAGAAACTGCGGTGTTTCAGGCACATCCATAGCGAAGTCATTGGATGTTACAACCATTCTTGTGTCCTACAAAGCTTCACTCTTCTGAAGGTTCATCAGTTGGTCCTCCCGAGTCCCCACTTTGTGGATTGCAGCTGTCTAACAGTATCTCGTGTTTTCCAAGTTTGAGATTGCGCAATGGTTAAGGCGCGTATTCACTTACCGGAAGGTCCGTGGTTTGAACCCAACCTCTGCATTTTGACTTTTCTGTCTAGGCTTGGACAACCTGGCAGTATCTCAGCCCTCGTGCTTATTTCGGGCGGCAAGACGACAAGGCACCAGCTGGACTGCTGCTCAAATAGCTTCCATTGGAGAAGCTTCCCATACAAAAAATGGGCGCGGTTGCTCGTATTAATCTATTTTTTACTTAAAAAAGAAGTTGTGAACAAGTTGACTTTGTCGTCGAAACCCTGGCAAGTGTGTGGTTCGGACCTCAAGCAGCAAGCATACGTACCGTCGTCTACAAAATAAGTTGAGTCTAACCTATAAGCACGTACCCACGCGCATGCGGATATCGTATTTCGGTTCAGCTGGTGGCCGGCTAAAAGCCTGAGACAAAGTGGATCTGTTTGAACGTGATAACTGTTCACTGGGTACTCTGCCTCTTGTCAAAATACAACGTTGCACCAGCGTACTCACAACGAACCGATTGGCTCACAAAACCACGAGTCAGAATGAACAAAGAGGCGAGCAAAACAGGGCCCACCACTCAGCTATGCAGTGTTTAAGTGGGAAGGATTTTTTGTCTCGCGGACCATATTCGCCGTCCGCTATCTAGATTACCGGGACAATAAGTTCAGCGAAAAGGTCATGGGGAATTAGAGAAGATTGATGAATGCGGGATGTTTATTAATACGTTATTGTACTGACGAAAGCAGCTCAAATAAAAGAAAGTAATCGAGCAGTTAGTTAGGCACAGCTACAAGTTGAGTCGATCAGCTTCTATTATACAAAAGGTGACATCGGTGTAGGTTTAGCAAAACTGGAAAGGAATGGGTTAAAACATACTTGTAGAATCAACTCGAACAAAATCTCATGATCAGTGGAGTAGAACGGGAGTCGCCCACACATCATTTCGTACATTACGACTCCGAGACCCCACCAGTCTACGGCGCGACCGTAGTCGCTCTCTAACAGGACCTCGGGGGCCAGGTATTCCGGAGTACCACAAAACGTTTTGGTCATAGTCCCGTAACTCATCTCTTCTTTGCACAAACCGAAATCAGCAATCTTGATGTGACCGTCCTTATCTAACAGCAGGTTTTCCAGCTTCAAATCCCTAAACAGGTGGGGGGAATACACAAAAACGCCTCAAGGTAATAATAATAATAATAATAATAATAATAAAAGAAACCAAGCTGTAGAGAAGCATTATCTATCCAAAAGCTAGAAAAACCAGCTGGTTACGTCAGTCCAGAAACCAATACTGCCGAACTCTTGTTACCCGTCCTCCAAACTCGCCGACTTCACCTGGAAGACTAGGCAGTCATTGTGAGACACAACTCAGACGATTAAGATTTGTGATCAGCTGTTAATTCGGAGCAGGCAGGCACTGGATACAGTACAAACGAAACTAATTCACAGAACCCAAAAGGAACATGTATCATCGAACCAATATGCTAACTGGGTACGGTATCGTCATGAACAGCTTGACAGCTATACAACCACGGAAAAGGAATGCAACAGCGAACAGAAAGGAGCATGGCTACTAAATCTTCCAGAACCGTTGTGATCGACAAATATGAGCACGTATTGGAGCGGGAGATGGATAGCAGGATTGACCCGAATCCCACATCAAGACCACCTAGTCACTTGCACTCGATTAGCCAGAAGACCTGGTTGCTCGAGCAACAAAGCAAGCTCTAGTTGGCCGAAAATATGTACCCAGCAGCCACTCGTGTTCCAATATCCACTGAAGGCTGGTTGCCAATACCGCGTCCAGAAGGCGTCCGAATTTCCAGACTGCTGTCGTTTTACACACTTTAAATAAGACACACTCATTTCGAGCACTTAATATACTTTGTGTACCCTCGTTAGTTCTTCTGCTGAAAAACCAGCTTGAGAGCATCAGACCGAAAACAGAACTGAGGCATAACCGTTATCTGGTGATCCTTTGGAGAATTCATCTAACACAACACCAGCACGTAAAGAGAGATAATCATTACCCAGGTAGTCTGACTAAAAAGTAACAGTAAGCTTCCCACTGGTGCTGGCTGCGTGCCATATTGTTCTGTACAACCAAGTGGATCCCACAGCGCCAAAACTACCACTTTATGTCAAGCATTTCAGCAAAGTGAACAACGCAGCCACTTTATCAAAATGTGATCAAGCTGTACACAGCTGAAACCAGCCTAGTCTACGTCAACAAAAGTTAGAGTACCTAACCGTTGAGTTGTGCAGACAAACATGGAATGACACTATTGGTGGGAAACTTCTGTCCACCGAGAGACCGCTTGATGGTGTGACACCGAAAGTAGATACGTTAGTACTATTGTGAAACCACGTATTTCTCACCGCTGAAGGGGAACAGAGTGAGAAGACGTAAGAGAAGTTCGGACACCAAAATCGCCACTTCGAGCAACGTAGAACCGTGTAAGGTCTGATTGGCTCACTTAGTGACGTCGATCGCTCGCAAACTGAAATTGCTTATCCTCCAATAAGTGTGTAAGCGGTATTGAGAATCGGATTATGCAAGTCTTCATTCTATCTCGTAAGTAGTGAAGTCAACTTAGATGAGAATAACGAGGAACACAGAATAGCTTCTTTGTCTTTTTATAAGAATTCATGAGAATGGGTTATACTGGTCAAAAAAGTTGGATGGTAACAAAGACATTCAAACCGAGTGACCCTGTAACTAAGCGCAATACGAAAAGGCGAACAAAGAGGGGAGTGTTATTGGGTGACTTTTGCAAACCTATGGTGAAAACCTGTCAGAGGAAAACAGATCAAACCGCCGTATAAAAGTATTTAGTATGGTGAGTAGTGTAGAGCTACCACTGGTTGGTATGGTCGTCGCACAAAAAGGGTTACTCGGTCAGCAAGGTACAGGTTGAGGAGCAGTTTTCGGTAAAGCTCTGCGATAACGTAAGATTATCACGCAAGACAGATCCTAAATACAAGCGCCAGAAACTGGCAGCGCCATTATAACGAGGTTAAGCTGTACCTGTAAACCACATTTTGCGTGTGCAGATAGCCGAGGGCCAAAGTGATCTCTGCCGCGTAGAACCGTGTTCGATCCTCTGAGAAACGTCGCTCAAGGGATAGGTGGTAAAACAGCTCGCCGCCGTTCACATATTCCATCACGAAACAAAGACGATCCGGAGTTGTGAACGAATAGCGCAGCTGAGTCATAAACGGGTGATGACATTGTTGAAGCACCCGGTTTTCGGTCAAGGTGTGAGCGACCTCTTCCTTCTAAAAAAAACGAATAAAAGGGCGATTGGAAGCAAGCGGTGGCAAAAACAGTCAGTATGAATGAGCCAAGTGCTAGGTACTAAAGACGTCTTCACGTGAACTCACAACCGAATGGCATATGGTCATTATGATATAGTAAAAATTGTGATACCATCACTAACTGAGACTTCATTAGCAGATTCTCAAAACAGTGCTCAGTGTATACCATGCGTTGAATAAATAAATAAATCGTTCAGCTGTAACACCCTTCCGGTGCCTAGCTACCATGCCACCCGAAAGAAGCACGAGGACTGGGATACTGTCAGGTTGCCCAAGCCTAGACAGGGAAGTTGAGAGGTAGAGGTCGGGTTCGAACCACAGGCCTTCTGGTCAGTAAATTCGCGCTCGAACCACTTGCCGAGCGTTTGTGCTAACGGTGATCGTTGAGGATAGATTATCCATGAATAAATGCAGAAACTGCAAGAAATTCGGGAGAATGGCTAGAGAAGATGAAAAATAATAAAATGCACGAGCGTGCTGGCGGGGATAATAGAAGATATCGGCATGTTCTCGCTCACACACACATACAACAGGGATGATGTCATATAGGAACTCACCTCTACCAGAACGGACTTCTTCAAAATCTTCATGGCGTAAAAATATCCCGTATCTCGCTCCTGGCAGAGGACTACTTTACCAAACGTCCCTTTTCCCAAAACTCTGACAAGTCTAAAGTCGTTCATTGTGTACCGTTTGACCGGCCTGTCAGAGAAACAAGCAGCCGGTGGCAAAATAGTTAGTCTGATCAGCCAAATAATAGAATAAACGTGGTTGGCATTACCACGGCTAATTCTTCTCGAAGAATGCAAAATAATATGAGTTAATGAACGTGAATAAGTCACAGTGGCTATCCGGAGTACCGAGAAAACGCTTGGTCGATCTATCAAGAACAAGCGATGGAACCTCAACCTTCTCAGGCCTTTTGACGCATAACGCAGTAAAAGCGGATGAACAGTGAACGAGTTGAGTGGATTGGTGTGTATGACCAACAGTGTATGAGGATTGTTTCGATGCTCAAAAGGAACAACATCGAGGTCTGTCGAAGAATCGGTCATGAAAAAAGAATCAGTTCGTTGCTTAAGGTTGCTGGAACGTCCGGGACGTGATATTCAAACGCGTTCATGAACGCGCTAGTCCCACTGTGTTATCTGATGGACAAGAAAGGATCCGGATACATTAGTGGATGCGAGTACTCGGATAAACCAGTATACCTACGCACTGTGGAACTGGGATTCGTGTGAATCCCGTATCGGATTGGGAAGCAAGGTTGGTGAGAATCGTCCATAAGGCCGCTGCCTTCCAGATGAAAGACAATCCACGGTCAAGTACACGCAGACAGTTCTGATTAGCTAATGCTGACATGTGTATTCTTTCAGATAGGAGTATGGTCGCTCGATAGGGCCAGATTGACGAGCCCCTCTATGCCAACGAGCTCAAGTACAGGAGAGTTGAGCTTCTCTGGATCCAACAGATACGTCAGCTACGTCTCCGTGGTGTAAATCAGCACTAGTTTGGATACCACAATGTCCAATAACGTCATACTGCCAAAATATAGGCGATAAAATACCATAAGGCATTAACGAGGAAAGAGATGTTAATTGCTAGGTCTGACACCAAATCCGTTCTCTAGTCCCAACTAACTGACTTCTTATCAAGGTCAGAAACAACCAAACCATCTGTCTCCTCCAGTATGCGATCAGTTGTGCGAAGACTGGAATTGACACTCGAAACGACGGCTAGGCGATGCTGGAACAGTCATTAATGCCATTAATGGCTAAAGGCGTACTGATAGGGGACAGGCGTTGTACAGCAGAGTTGGTTCACTAGCCACACATAAAAAACCGTGACATTCAGCTGAGTGTCAGTGAATCGAGTAGCTAATGTTATTCATGGACAAGAAAAGACAGGCTGAAACAGGGAGTGCGTGCAGTGATGTGAGCTCACAATAGCAAAGACGAATAAAAGTAACGGCTACTCGGACGGGCTCACCGACAACAAGTTTATAACGCTGTTGTTGGTCAAGACATTGTCGATGAACCACATAGCTGTTCGTGATGATAATGATGGCACACAACCACTGATCCATCGTTACGCATCGTTAGGCCCCTGGTAATGCACTGTAATGTCACCTCGATCGGTGATGAAACGGCTCTAATCAAACTGTTCAGCTCAGTGAAAAAACCAACGACAAAACATGATAACTACGGTCTGCAATGGCTCTGGAGCAACGATACGAACCCTAATGTGCTGGAGTTCAAATCAAGAGTAAAGACAGCACTAACTGCAGTAACAAAAGTAGTTAGTACACAAAATCTACGCATACAAACCTCTGTGGAATATCCAAAGCGACATCCTCGTCCAGGCTAACGGAGAGAATCGAAATCGGCTCCTCGGCAGTAGATCGAAGACGATTGGCCACCGTTTGAATAGCACCTAGCCATTCGCTTCGTTCTTGTTCGGTTTCAACGAAAAACAGACGCTCCACAATATTGGTCCATTGTAGACCTCGGATGAGGAAAGTAAATGGCTTCGGTTTGTTGAGGCAGATTATTTGGCAATCCCGGACGGTGAAGTTATTTAGTGGCAATGCCGTATCATCCTAGAGTAGGGCAAAGTGAAGGTGGGCCACATTGCGGTACCAAAAAGGCAGAATGCGAAAATTTTACGGTAGGAGGGAGAGAATCCGAAATCAGGATTATAGCGAGGACGAAGATGTCCAAGATATGGCTAAACAGACTAATGATGACCTTTCCGGGCGTACGGTCAAAACCAGTTTCGATGTGAAAACGAGAATCACCCGATGGTGAGGTCAGAATGCTAGCTTCATTGTTACTCAAGGCGGCTGTTCGCGTTGCTGATAATATTTATAGACGTTTGTCAGGGAAAATGATGCCCGAGGAAATTAAACCGGTTGATCCCACAGACTGGACGTTGAAAGAAATGTAGATCGACACCATAGATGGATAACCCACGAAACCATCATTGTAAGAAAGATTCAAGAGCATACGCGTGATTCAACCATACTGGAGTTGGAAGGATTCAGCACTTACTTTTGGTTGACATTTGTATCCATAAAACGTACCATCTTCACGAAGTTTGAAGAAACGTCGTCTCCAGTTTTTGATATGTTCACCACGTTTCATTAACCACCCCTCCAGAACGACTTTACGTGTGAGGGGAAGACACATTGGACGTCGCTGCAACATGTTCAACAGGTAGGATGATACTTCCTGCTTTAGTCAGATAATGCAAACGTATGGGTTAACGGACCTGAGTCATGGTAGGTAGAGGGGGCGGGACAGCAGAGGGGAGAACACCCCGGTCTTCCACCTCCATCGGATCACAAGACAAAAGTAGAGTGCAAGAACTGGTGACACACGTCCGGGGTCTAGAAAATATTGGAGAAGTTTGAGAAAAAGGTTGTTAGGGGAGGCGTGGAAAATGTATCACCAAAGGCATCGACAAGGTAGCAATATAGATATTCAGATAAATAGGAATGTAGGGTAGAAAAGCCTTTTAACGGTCTCTCTGTAAGTAGTAACATTCGACTGGGTGTAGTCTCCAGATTCATCTCAGCAATTGACGATATACTGACAAGACCGATCGACGATGAGGACCTTATCGACCTCGCACACGTCTCCAACGCTGCTATTATTTCCCAGACAAAACAATAAACGTGTTTACAAATGTTTGCATACGTCATCTTAACATCCGCCATGTACTTAGAGCGCATAGGGCGGAAAGTCAGACTTTCGATGTGTACAGTCTTTAAGCCCACAACTCAGCTCCCAAAGATAGACCGTCATCATCGTCCTTCCGCTACGGAAACCGCATACTTGTTTTGCGGTGGTTAGAGCTGCCACGGTTTCTTTCAGCGATGATGGCCGTTGGATTGTGTGCAGAGAAGAGTAACTCGGACACAGGTACTGAATGAATGATTGTAAAAATTTACTAAGGGGTAATGTTAGGTGTGGTCAGGCTTTTCGGTTTCTCAAAATGTGGGGCCACGTACGCTTCTGGAGCCTGACTGAATCAGAGATGCTGGGGTTATATGTATTTGGAGATGCAGGTGCATCGCCCGGGCACGGAGGTGAGACTGAAGTATGATCGGTATTATCCTCAATAATATTGAGCGGAGGCGCGTACAAGTCGGACAAAGGGGTGTATGAACGCCATTGCCTCCAGTGTATGAGGTACACGTTAACTCGTTGACATGTGTGCGACCACCACAAGGAGCGAGATGGTGGACGAATACAGTGCTTTCTTTTTCTCTGAGAAAACGAAAATGGGCGTAATGTGGATTGCAGTACATAAGTTCGACTCCCTCAACGACTGGTTCATACTTTGAGGCACGGTCAAATCTTTTCAGTAAAACAGGTCCTGTGATAGTCAGCCAAGTTGGTATAGACAAACCACAGGATGACCGACGTTCAAACCAAAACATTCGTTCATATGGAGTGGCAATCGTGGAGACGCAGAGAAGGGAGGGTATCTGATAGAGCCGATTCCCAGTAACAGATTTGAAGGCGTTTCGCCTTGAATCTGAGCTGGATTGTGTTTCAGAGTGTCTCGTTGAGGCGTTTGATTTGCCTGTTCCCCTGGGAATTGTAAGTTGTTCAGCTGGTGCAAACTCCTCTGTCATGTAAGGATGTGGACGGTTTGTCAGATATAAATGAGGAGCCACGATCCGAATGTACGCATGCAGTCACACCAAACAAAGAGAATAATCTACACAGCTATTTAATAACGGTAGATGTACATGCATCCGCGCGAGGAAAGGCAAACAGAAAATGGGAAAACTCGCCAACGATAATAAGGAGGTATTGGTTTCGAGTAACAGAAGGCAGAGGTCTTCTAAAATGATGATAGTTCGTTCGAGTGGTGGAGCCGCTTTGATGAGCGTAGCGGGAGCGGTTTGTGACACAGCGGTTTGATGGCGGCACAAACCGCACTTTTTGAGATAGTCTTTAATTCTTGGAAGGAAAACGGCAAGTTTTTGGAAAGAACGAAGTGACGCGTTTGAGTAATTCCGGGATGACACAAGGAATCATGAATTTCCTTTAATCACTGCCGATCATATTGGCGCATAGGTTACGCGATAAGGTGTCAGCCACCAGATTGCCTTTTCCAGGTCTGTGGCTGATATCGTAGTTAAAAGCGGAGTCCCATTTTCCATTGCTGGATTTTATCGTTTCTTTAACTTACTTTTGTGTGACACACCATACATAAAGGAAACCGACCGCTGGTCAGCGATAAACATTAACTGTTTCCCGAAGGGATGCTTCCATTTAAGGATAGATTAAACGAGAGCGTATGTCCCTTTCTCAATGGTAGAATGATTCTTTTTACTCGGTGTCGGTGTTCTCGAGAAGAAGGTCACCGGTCGGCTGTTCTGAATCAGAGATGCAGAATTGGTTGTCTGAGGCGTTCATCTCGACAACCAAGGGTGCGTTGTAGTCGACTGTCACAACCATGGCGTTCTCTAACACCTTTAAATTTTTGAAGGACTGTTCCACACGCTCCGGTAAGGGGAAAGTCTTATCTCTGACAAGCACACTGACTTTTTCAAAGTATGGTATCTATTGCAAACATACCAACAACTCGTTGTTGGGGTTTAGTGTCATATGGATGAGACGATAGGACTGAGGACTAGGGATGAGGGGAATAGGTCTCATTCGTTCAGGATCTGGTTTGATAATTCCTTCAGGAACTTTATAGCCGAGGCGTATTTGTTTGGCTGCTTTGATGCTTTTCTTGCAGTAAAACGTAATTCCATATTTTTTAAATTACTTCATGGAAATATTTGAGGTTCTGATCATGCTCACTTTGGGTAGTCCCACAAATAGTGACATTGTCGATGTAAGCGTAGGTGCCACTTAGGTTCTTAGACTTGATTATATAGTCAATAGTACGTTGAAAGCATGTTACTCCGTTGGTTACACCAAAAGGAATGCGACGGAACTGAAACAGCTCTCCGCATGCTTCAAAAGCCGTATACGGTTTGTCTTGCTCACTGATTGAAACTTGATGGTAAGCACTCAATAGGTCTAAGGTGCTAAAGACAGCATGACGGGAAATTTCTTCGATCATTTTATCCAGTCGTGGTAACGGATACGCGTCTAGGTATGTGAAGCGATTAATGGTCTGACTGAAGTCCAGTACCATGAGTCTTCTGTGGCTTGAATTTTTCGCGACCAGTACGTGAGCCCTCCAGGGAGAATTCGAAGGTTCAATTATACCTTCATCCAGTAGTTGGTTAACTTAAGAGCGGACGAACTGTTCATCGTCAGGACTAAAACGCCGTGTTTTCGATAGGTTTGCAATCGGTTGAGAGGTTAGAGAAAAGAGGTGATTCCACCGTAGCAGCGGTAGGACCGCAGAGGGTGAATGGACCCAGATTCGCACCGAATGTGATTTGAACCTAGCTATGTAGACCAGGGAAATCGTGGCCTAGCAGCAGGTCAGTATATAGATTGGGTAATAGCTTGATTTTTTGTAAACAGTACCCCTGTAATCGATGGATACGTAGCAGTAGCCGTTGAAAAAGTTAGAAAGGTAGATGCCATGGCAATCACAAAATCGTTAGCATATATCTTCCAGCCATGTGTACGAACTAACAAAGGAGATATGTAGCTGCTCGAACTTTCCGTGTCTATGAGGGTCTGAAGCGTTATTCCGTTTATTTTTATATTGATCACCGTGCAAGATAAGCAGTACGGGGCAGCAACAGTCAACAGGAAAGATAAAACAGAACCCCTGGTGCAAGTTGAGTGATTTTTGAAACATTTGGATTGACAAACACGCTAAAAATGTCCTGTTTTACCACATGATTTACACACTGCTTTTTTGCGGGGCATTTGGATCGTGGATGCCTGGAACGACCATAAAAACAGCATATCTGAGAACTGATTGACAGGAGACAAGGTGTGGAATCAGGAGAGATTGAGTGTAAAGGGGTAATCGTAGGCGTCTGTTGAAGTTATGTAGCCGCAGAAAACGACATCGGTTGGTTATGCGAGTATGACAGAGTTTGTTTGTGGGCCGATTCTAATGACCTAGCCAATTCATGTACTTCATTGAGAGTGAGTTCATTTTGAGCCAGAAGCCTTTCTCTGATGGTAGCAGACTGAAGTTCGTCGACCATTGGTGGTCAATGGCGGACACCGCCTTGAAATCACAATTTTCGGCCAAGTTTTAAGCTTCTGAACAAACTGATCATCTTTTCTATAGAGGAAAATGTTGGTAGCTCAGGTATCGTAGATGGTGGTCGTTGGCTTGTTCGCTGAGCTGGGCAATTCGATTGCAAACGTTTCATCACCAATCGAGGTGACATCATCAGTGCGTTTTTGTGGAGCGTAGTAGTGCGTAGCGGTGACCAACATCTTGACTGGTGTCTTGTTTGCAAATCTGTAGATGACGAGCATAGATTATATTTTTAGGACGAACGTACAACATTTCAAGTGCACTGATAGCGTATTCGTAGTCGGGGCAGCAAGCGATGTGAACGTATACAGGTGCATCCACAAAATGGATCAAGGTTTCGAGTTTTTTTTCAGATTGGGGGATTCGACAGTGCCCAAAAACGTTTGGAAGGTTCCGAACCAATGATTCCAACGCGTTGGGGCGTCCGAAGAATTTGGATCTGTGTCCAAACACCTGGGTCGCAGCAACGGGTGTCCATCTTCTTTCATATACGTTGCTGTGCCATTGCCGAATTCAACTTCGTCGCCGAATCGGAAAGAACTTTCGAAGTTCGGTTCAATAAATAGGAGAGCGTGTTTTAAAACTCAACATATTCTTGACGTCATCAGCGAGTAGTTACTAGGTTTCTGACAAGCATTGTATACCCTACCCTTGACAGAATCTGACGTCGGACGCACGCCATGTGATGCAGTTTCACAAAACTTATTTTGACCTTCTCAAAGCCGAAGGAGATATAGTCTTTGGCTAGACAACGCAGACTGATACAGCTACTTGGGTTCATAATTTCTGTGCTGAATTCGGCAGCCCATTCGGAAGCATGAGGTTAGGATTCGAGCCACACCAGACTCGCCGCAGCACTCTACATTTTGAAGGTGTGAAGCGCATGCCAAACTGAGGCCAAATTACTTAGAGTATTTAATATCGCCTGCACTACGATAGCGTCAGGTCATACGGGTGCTATTTCGTCTGTGTACCCTTCTGTGTAGCCTTCTGGGAATATTTCGATCAAACAACCATTGGAGAGCAGTGAGCCTTCGACGACCACACCAATGACGAGGTTGAAGACGAAAGAGGGAAGAGGACATCCATACCTGAAACCAGTCGATGGAGTGATCTCAGGAGGAGATTCCCGTAAAGCAACACGAGTCCACCGGAGTTAGCGTACAGCACCTAGAGAAGGGTCATGAACTTATGGAGAACACCTTTGCCCAGCAGACACTAAAAAATAAATCGTTTAGCTGTAGTACTCTTTCGGTGCCTAACTGCCATGCCACCAGAGGGAGCACGAGAGCTGGGACACTGTCAGGCTGCTGAAGTCTAGAAAAAGGAAGTGGAGAGTCAGAGGCCGTATTCGAGCCCCAAACCTTCTAGTCAGTAAATTCGCGCTCTAACAACTGAGCTAACTCGCCCAGCAGATAAAACAGAGTCAAAGGCAGTGGGAGCAGTGTCGCTGTTCAAAAATCCGTCGGATGGTGAAAATACTATCGATTCACTATCTTGCAGGACGAAAACCAGCTTGGCTTTCGCAGATCTGCTTCTCCCTGTGTGCAGTCAACCTTAGGAGGATGAGACCGGTAAGCAACTCCAATGCCATAGCTACCAGGCTGATACCACGGTGGTTTTCGTTGTTCGCGTACCCATTCCGCATTTTCTCTTCGTTCCATACTGAATCAATGAGTTTTGCCGAGTGGGCCACCATGGGTTCTCCACCTTATCTGATGGGGGTGGATATAGATCGGGCGGTTTTGGTGCCTTCTCATTTTTCAGGAAGCCAGGAAGCCAGTTTCATCGTCCCTCGAAGTTTTTGGCCCAAAATAAGAGCACGACCACAGGCAAATTGACGGCCAAAGACTACATTTTTAAATCTTCCAGTAGTTGTTAGGACGGTCAGGCCCTAACAAACAATTCTACCCTTTGTAATATTTCATTGAGATTTCATTTGCTCTTGTTAGGCAGGAATCCACGCGGATCCCACTATACCGCACGTCTTTAGGCGCTGCTACGGCCGAGAAGCCTGGCCCGCTCGAGGTTGGCTCAGAATTCGGGACGCTTGCCGGTCCGGCATCAAGGCGAGATCTGATTGGTCAACAATCTGGATCCAACACCCAATCATGACCCAGTATTGGCCAAATGCCGGTTGCCAATGCCGAATCCAGAGCGCGTCCGAAATTCCGGAAAGATATAACCGCTTACGCTGTATATACGAAGCGTTGTACAACTGTCCTTGATTTCGTTTTGGGCGTTAATAGACCTAGTGCATCTTTAGTGATTGTTTTGACGTGAACGCTAGCTTGTGAGGCACAGACCGAGAACTAAGCTGAGGAAAATACCGTTACTACAGCTCTGTTGTAGCCAACTGAGCTGCAGCGCTCTTTCGTCCAGTTGGTTCATCTGCAATAGAGCCGATCTTCATTTGGTGTCCTCTGTCTTCTTCCTTGAGGTTTTCCCCCTCAAGTCACTAGATTATTAACGTGAAAGAATAAGTTGCATCAAGCTCCTAAATCAACCAGCTGGCATCAACCAACACGACAGTATAGACAGTCGCATTTCCGATTGGCATCTTCGGTCAACACGGGACGATATTTCATGGATGACGGTGGTTTGCGCAGGCTGAATACAGTGCTGCGTGCAAACCTCTCACACGAATGTGTACCCCGGAGAACAGGACTGGTGGACAAAAATTCCTGTAACGAGGCGAGAGCACCACTGATGTGGAGGCCTTTGCTGACGGATGAGCTGCTGCAACATTTATGATATTATTTCGTCACGGCTATAAAGCACCTAGCGCAGCCTCAGACAAGGAGTTCATATTTGACCCTATCTGTGGCTCACGCAGTATGAAGATATGTTTGAAGTTGACTTTCCAGGTTAGACAATGGAGGGAGAGTCAGACTACTGCTGCGTACGCTTGCTACATCACAGTATAAACAGTGCAGATAAACGCACACCACGCCACGATGAAACCGTCGCATATATTCAAAGACAAAGCGTCACAGTTTGACTCCCATCACCAGCGCCTTAAGCTGGTGAGGAAAAAAACCATGATCATTTTGCCGCGTAATCCCGTGCCGTTAACCTAGCACACGGGAGTTTCAAACGACACTCAATGAGGAAGATTCAGTGTCTTATTTTTTCCGTTATCTAGTCTTAACGAGATAAAGATTTTAGAACCCGGCTGCCGAACAGGACTGATGACGATGCAGAGCCTTATCGTTGAATGTCAACGTCTAATTGAGTTAAAGCATCCTAGATTACCCGCGAAACCGAAATTCCAAGGTCATCTGTTGTAGAAACGTTTTTTTATTATAGCCCACCCATAGGTCTTTAACCATTTTTTACACTAGGTGACTATTTTTCTCACCAGGGATCCCTAATTATCTGCGGTCACAGAGTTAAACAGGTCTCCCTTCATCAGTAGGCTTAATAGGTGTCAGTCCTCAACGCGTTTAACCTTCTCCTGCATGATCGTCCCTGACGACGTGCCGCCATTCGCCCACCAATTCAGTTACCCCTGAATATCACCTTTTCCACCAACTGGTTTTTCGTTCCTGACCGGGAACGCCACTCATCCCAAAGTTTACGCTACAATTCCTCGACCTACTTCGAAGTATTTCATTATTACACCGCTCCCGTCTTCCTCCTCTAAGCGGTTGCCAGACCCCGAACCCCCATCAGCTATCTCCACAGTATATCCAAAAAGGCGGCTCGCAGCCAGAAGACCCAACTCCCAACCCCCAAATCCATCGAGGCCGACAAAAACTGTACCACAGACAACCACAGATTGTTCAGTAGTCCTAACCGACATATCTTTGATTCTGCAACCTGGCAGCACTCTCCATTCACAACTGCCAGTAGAATCTCAGGCCCTGAAAGACCTGGAAAAACTCAGAATCCGTCTACACAATATGGAAAGCGAAATATCTTGCTTGCGAACCGTACAATCGATTGCATGTCTCTTGAAT